ACGGGAAAATAACGGGAATAACAACGGGAATTCTGGGAATTTAATGGGAATTCTGGGAATTTAACGGGAATTCTGGGAATTCTGGGGTCTGGGAATGGGCCATGGAAAGTTCTGGAAGCCTACACGGCCAGGAGGCTGCGGCTGTGGGAATTTCATGGGAATTTTGGGGATTTCTCCAAGAATTTTGGGATCTTTCCAAGGGATTTCCTCAGGAATTTCAGGGATTTCCCCAGGAATTTTGGGATGGATTTCCTCAGGAATTTCGGGATGTTTTCCAAGGAATTTTGGGGTCATTTCCAGGAATTTTGGGATCTTTCTGGGGAATTTCAGGAATTTCCCCAGGAATTTCAGGATGGATTTCCTGGGAATTTTGGGTTTTTCCAAGGGATTTCCACAGGAATTTCGGGATCTTTCCCAGGGATTTCGGGATTTTTCCCGGGAATTTCAGGATTTCCCAGGGATTTTGGGGTGGATTTCCCGGGAATTTGGGGTTTTTCCGAGGGATCTTTCCCAGGAATTTCGGGATTTTTTCCCAGGAATTCTGGGATGGATTTCCCCAGGGATTTCGGGATTTTCCTCGGGAATTTCGGGGCTCCGTCCCCCGGGGATTTTTGGGATCAGCGGCAATTCCGGGTTTTTCCAGGTGCGCCAGAGCAATTCCCTGCGGGATTTGGTGGCCGTGGCCGGGCCCTTGGGAGTCACCCAATTCCTGGCACTCAGCAAATCCCAGACCGGGATCAACCTGGTGAGCCCAAATCCCGGGAATTCCGGGAATTCCGGGAATTCCGGAGCGTGGGGATGGGGGGATTCCCCGGAATTTGGGGTTGGGAATTCCCAGGTGTTTGGGGTTGCCCGAAAGGGGGAGGGGAAAAATGGGAGGGAAGGACGGGAATTTGGGATTGGAATTTGGGATTTTTCCCCGGATTTTCCTTGACTTCTTCTGGGGATTTTTCCTGGGATTTTTCCGGGATTTTTCTCAGGATTTTCCCAGAATTTTCCCAGGATTTTCATTGGATATTTCTGTGATTTTTCCCGGGATTTTCCCAGGATTTTCCCGGGATTTTCTTGGGATTTTCACAGGATTTTCCCGGGATTTTCCCGGGATTTTCCCGGGATTTTCCTGGGATTTTCCCGGGATTTTTCTCAGGATTTTCCCGGGATTTTTCTCAGGATTTTCCCAGGATTTTCCTGGGATTTTCCCAGGATTTTCCCGGGATTTTCCTGGGATTTTCCCGCTTCTGAAGCTTTTCCTCCTTCCCAGAAACTTTTCCGGCTGCCGGGGGGTCCCACCCTGACCTTCAAAGTGCTGCAGGTGAGTCCAGGAATTCCGGGAATTCCGGGAATTCTGGGAATTCCAGGAATTCCGGGAATTCCAGGGGATTTTTTTGGGATTTTTTTGGGATTTTTTTTAGGAGTTTTATTTGGATTTTTTGGGATCAAATCCCGTTTTCCCCTTCCCAAATCCTGAGGGATTTTTGGGATTGGGGTTTTTTTTTGGGGGGCGTTTTTTGGGATTTTTGAGGGGTTTTTTTGAGGTTTTTCTGGGATTTTTTGGGATTTTTTGTAATTCCACGGAATTTTTCGGGATGAATCCCATTTTTCTCCTCATTCCCAGATCCTGAGGGGTTTTTTTTTGGGATTGAGGGATTTTTGGGGTTTTTTTTTTTTTAATTAATTTTTTTATTATTTTTTAGATTTTTTTTTTTGTTCCTTTGGAATTCCACGGAATTTTTCGGGATGAATCCCATTTTTCTCCTCATTCCCAGATCCTGAGGGGGTTTTTTTTGGGATTGAGGGATTTTTGGGGTATTTTTTTTTTTTTAATTTTTTTTTTTTATTTTTTAGATTTTTTTTTAATTTTTTGTTCCTTTGGATTTCCACGGAATTTTTCGGGATGAATCCCATTTTTCTCCTCATTCCCAGATCCCGAGGGGGTTTTTTTTGGG